ATTCATGTTTTGCTTAGAAATTAAAAATTAACAGGCTAACGGTCAAGCCAGGCCATTCATTTTTTAATAAATGGGCCAAACCAGACTAACAGTTAGACTCGTACTATGCTATCGGGGCAGGTCAAATTGAAATTTTTTGGCATATGCTTGGGCTTTTTGGGACAAAGGTCGGCCCAACCCAGCCCACTTTCACCCCTACACACCCCTCCCCCATTTAATGAATAATTAATCAAGTCTTATGGAGTTTCTTAACATATGCAGGTGTTAATGTAACCTCAACAAACACCTTAAGTTTTTGAATTGAATTGGTTCTTTACAAGTTTAATATCAGCTAACTGCACTCATTTAATAATTAAAAAATAAGAAAAAAGAAAAAAAATGTTATGTGGAAGCGGGTTCGGAACTCAATGCCCCCACTCAAAAATAAGCCTAATAGAGTCAAATTGCCACGGTTTGTTAATATATAGAAAACAGATTTGGATCCTCTCATATAGAAAAGTGGTCAAGTTATTTGATCACAACTATTCATTTAAAAATCATACACTTTTCTCCCTCTTATCTCATCATTATTGAGTGGTTGAATTGAGAGGTTGTGATAAAATAATATGACCATATGATCACATTTTCACATGAGTAAATCCAAATCCAAATCTATATTTTCTTTGGTAAATGCAACAATAATATTACAAGACAAAATAAAAGTTCCTAGCAGAGACAATAATAAGGAAAGAGAAAATGGATTGAGGAGAGAGAGAAATAATTGGACGTACCCCACTATTTTATTATGTCAGCAGAAAACTTGTTTTTTATACTGTAAAATTATATACATAAAGCCCTTTTTCTTTTTATCATATTGAAATTCTTATAAGATCTACTATCTGTACCTGCATACACGAGGAATAACCTACCAACAATCCTAATCTATCTTCAAAGAAGATCAGAATTGAGATAACACAATGAAAGTGAATTAGTTTAAGTGGTACATATTTGATTTGGGAGAGTTAGGTCTTGGATTCAAGTTTTATGAATGCAAAAAAAAATTTATGGAAGAGCCGGCCCCACCATGATATAAATATTTCTAACTCGAACAGAATTTTCACCCATAAAAAATACCCGTGGTTTATAAAAAATAAAAAATTGAGATAGCATACGAGTTCCACCATATTGGATTTAACAAAAAATAAATAAATAATCCCTTCTGCCTAAAATTATCTTCCCCTAAAAATATATTAATTACCAGAGTAAAAATTTGAGTTACTTCGCAAATAATTGAGGAAAAATTACTTTTTATATTTTTAAAACTGAATATGTCATCAAGTTTGTCCTTTTGTTTATGTCCTCTAATATTACCAACCATAGCCGATTTGTCAAAAAACAAGAATTCAATTGTACGTTTTCTTTTCATGCATTTTGTTGGTCCCTTTTTTTTTCATCTTAATATTACACTTAAACCTATTTTTATTATTGCGTATTTCCTTTCAATGAAATAATTAACATTAATGAAAACTGTTTAATTACCAAAAAAAAAAACATTAATGAAAACATTAATGAAAACTATTTTTCATTATGTTGACAACTTGCAGAATCAAAATTAGAATATTTTAAAAGATATAGCATTCTAAAAGATATTTTATTAAGATTCATTTTCCAATATTTCACTTATGGAATATAAAATAACTTATTATTAAGGTTATTAAAATATATATTAAAAAAACTAGATAAATATAGTTGTTTGCATTATAAAATAAGCAAGCCTTAAATTAATTTATGTAACAAAATATATAAGTTTTTTAACTTGATATAAATTTATAAATCTAACTTCTCTTCAGAGAAAGGATTAAAAGTATATTATTCATATATTTAATTATTTTCTATAGTTATAGTAATTTTTGTGTGAGTTTAAAAGTTATAACATAAAATCATAAAGCAAGTCTAATGATATATGAGTTTTGCTTGATTTTTTTCTACAATTAATTTACAATTTTCTGTATTTATATTCTTGTTTCTAAAGAGGCACATCTAATTAAAAGTTTAACAACTAAATAATCAACCAGCACGAGCTTTTTCCAACTTAATTAATAGTTTTCAACTTCAAGTCTTAGATACATAGTTGTGTTAAAAAAAACTTAATAGGGAGAATTTTATTGTCCTAATCGATTAACGGATGAACTGTTAGATAAATTTAAAAAAACAAATAAATAAAAACTTTATAATCTAAACTTAAATTAGAAAAAAGAAAAAAAAAACTACTGGGTGAAGAAGAAGCAAAGTTTAGAAGATGATACGGTACAGAATCAAAACTCAAAGGAAAGTACTAGCTAGTTTAATTGAAAAAGTTCTTTGAAGTTAGATTCAAGAGCGTAGGATCAAATCTAATCTTCACCCATTCCTATTCGTAATTAAAGTGGAAGAAATTTTATATTATATCTAGATTATAGATAAATATATTAGAGATTGTTCTACATTTCTAATTATGGAAAGATGAATTAACAAGAGAAGATTCCTCACTCAATCTTGCATACATTTTACTTAATGACAAAAAAGTCTAATCAAACATTTGACCCCCAATTCCTATACAACATATTACTTTCTCGGACACACTTTAGCCCTCATTCTAGATCATGAAAAATACAAACCAAACTAACCAAAAAAGAAAAGAAAAGATAAAGACCACAATGTATTTTATCAAACAACCCGAAACCCCAAAATTAACTCCATACGAGAAACATTAATCCCAACTTTCTATATTATGAAATTTAGCATATGACACAACCAGGGAAATGACCATATTGTTATTTTTTGGGCAAAAATTTACATGATTGTCACGTTTGAAATTTTTTTTGCCAAAATGCCACGTCACAATCTCGTTGGTCTGACAAGCGATAATGGATTGGACACGTGTCAGCGTCTGAATGGTCAACCATTCTTGCTGGGCTGCCAAGCTAGAATGACATAATGCTGACACGTGGCAAAAGTACAGGCATTTTCTGGATGTGACGTGTTTGAATAAATTTATGGAATTACACGTGTTGAAAATTTATGGAATTACTAGTGTTGTTGATTGTATATTCTGTTTGAATAAATTTTTGTTGTTTTATTTTTTTTAAACAGGCTAGACCAGACTTTTATTTTTTTTAAATAAGTCAGGTTACATGCCGATAATTATATTTATAACAGGTAACAAGCTTGGTCAGACTGACACATTTAAACACAATTTTAACTTTTTAAGACCAAAACTCAACCTGACCCGGTCCGTTAACACCCCTAGCCCCAACGATTTGTTAATACATAGAAAACTTATGTCCGTAGGTATATTTTATCTTTTTACTATATCGAAATTCTTGTATGGGCACGCTCATCTACTATCTATACTTCAATACACGAGGAATAACCTACCAACAATCCTAATCTATCTTCAAAGAAGATAAGAATAGAGATAAAACAACCAAGATGGGTTGGGTTGGTTTAAGTGATTTTCGCTTAAGTTAGGTATTGGATACTTTATCCAAAAAATAATTGAGATAACACACAAGTTCCACCATATCAGATATAACATAAAAATATCGCTTCTTCCTAAAATCTTCTTCCACTAAAAATATATCAACTATCAGAGTGAAAATTTGAGGAGTAATGTTATATTGACAATTTTTTTTTACAAACTTACAGATTACACTATGTCTGACCGATAATACTCTACTCAAGAGTGTTTTATCAGTTAGACATAAAGTAATTTATAAGAATTTATAAACAAAAGTTTATAAATATAACATTCTCCAAATTTGAGTTACTATGCAAATAATTGAGGAAAAAATATTTTTTATATCTTTAAAACTGAACATGTCATCAAGTTTGTCCGTTTGTTTATGTCCACTTATATTACCAATCATAGTCGATTTGTAAAAAAGACAAGAAGTCAATTGTTTGTTTTCTTTTCATGCAATTTGTTTACATGAATCTATGTCATCATATCATTTTCAATCATTACTAATTTTCATATTTCATGTTAATGTATTTGTATCTCTTTTTTGTAAGTATATTTATTTTGTTAATAGAGTATTAATTTGATTAATACGAGTGGATCATCTCATATTAAAATTTACATAATTTGAGAAATTTTGAGAAATTTGTGTGTTTATCTTTCTCTTTATTAATGATAATTGGATCTCACCTACTTAATGCATTTGAAGAGAGATAGACACAAAATTTTATATGACTAGATCTTTATCTTTATTATTAATAATTGGACCTCACCTATTTAATGCATATGAAGAGAGAGATAAAAACAAATACATGGACTAGCTGACACGACTTTATTCCAACTTAAATAATGATTTTAAGTTTGAGTTTTTGATATACAATTGTGTTAAAAAAACTTGATAGAGATAATTTTATTGTACTAATCGATTAATAGATTAATCGATATATAGGTAGAGAAATTTAAAAAAAAATTATAACTAAACTTAAGTTAGAAAAAAAGGAAAAACTACTAGGTGGAGAAGAAGCAAAGTTTAGCAAGATGATACGGTACAGAATCAGAGCTCAAAGGAAAGTACTAGCTAGTTCAAATGAAGAAGTTTCTTTGCAGTTAGTTGCAAGAGCCTAGGATAACCTTCACCCATTCCTATCCCTAATTTAAGTGGAAGAAATTTTATATTTTATCTAAATTATAGATAAATATATAAATATATTAGCGATGGTTCTAAATTTCTAATTATGGAAAGAAAAATGAACAACAAAAGATTCCTCACTCAAATCTTGCATACATTTTGCTTAATGACAAAAAAGTCTGATCAAACATTTGACCCCCAATTCCTACACAACATATTACTTTCTTGGACACACTTTAGCCCTCATTCTAGATCATGAAAAATAAAAACCAAACTAACCAAAAAAGAAAAAGAAAAGATAAAGACCACAATGTATTTTATCAAACAAAACCCTAAACCCTAAAATTATCTCCATACGAGAAACATTAATCCCAACTTTCTATATTATGAAATTTAGCATATGACACAACCATTGGGATTCTCTTCTACACTTCTAACATAGTAATTTTGACCATATTGTGGTGTTGTCATATGATAATAAAGCTCGAGAGGAACAGGTACATTTGTTGGGTCCTTTTCCTCTTTTGCAGGTCCTACTGAAACTATTTCTGTGTGACAACACTTTCTTAGCTTGGACACTGCACGTACAGGATCAATGTCCCCAGATAAAATCAATTTCTTGTCTTTCGTATCCACAGCAACTGATTCAACCCCTGCAAAATTATTACAAATACAATTTCACTTAGAAAAACATTGAATCCTTGATGCTATGTTTATGATATGGGATTTGTTTCTTGAAACAAAACTGACCTTATTAGTTAAAGATTTTTATTTTTTTATTTTTTGTGTTTGGTTGGTGGACTGCAATGTAATACTGGTTAGGAATTTAAGTGTAAATGGTGATTACATTTGTTAAGAATGGATTAAGGAATATTATATAAGTGGAAGAATCCATAAACTTAAATGTTTGAAGGTTTTGGGTTGTTTCGATTATGTGTTTGAGAATCATTTATTAATGATAGTATTTGAAAATTGTGGTTGGTGTTTGGGTTTTAACTTGCCTAAACCATAACAAAAACTGATTGAAATTCAATACCTGAAAGGCCAGATGCTGTCTTCATGGCTTTTTGCTTGATTCTATCATCATAGAAGTCCACCTTCAACAC